CCATCTCGCTGTCCAAGGGTGTTGTTCCTCCAGGCCTGAGCTCTAACTGGACCTGGCTTTCCATGGTTATTCCCTGTGGACCGAACCAGCTGATTTTGAAACCAGTTATAGAAAAAAAAAGATTGAAATCCAGCATTAAATACCATTTTATTTTGCTTAAAAGGAAAAATAGACATCAAGAGTGTGGTACATTCCCTCCCTTTAACGGGTTTTATCTTCCGTTCCTTGCTTTTTCTTTCCTCCCTATTTTTCTTCCCCCTTTCTCTTTTTTATTTTTATTCCCTTCCCCTTTCTTTTGACATTTTTATTCCCTTTCTTTGCTGGAAAGGCTGGCTGGGGTCAGTTTTGGCTTTCCTTGCCCAAAGGGGAAGGGGATCAAATCTCCAGGAATGGGCAGCTCTTKGTGTCACCGTGCCCGAGCACGTGCAGCGAGCGTGGGGAGGGGATGGGCTGCTCCAAACCTCTGCTCAGTGATTGTTTTTATTCCCCTGGATTTCCAGAGTGCCAGGYTTAATGCAGAAGAAAGCTTGAACTCCATCCTCGTTCAAAGCCTGGCTCTGGTGGGACCCCCAGCTGGCATCTGGAATGTCTCTGGAGCAATCAGGATTCCACGTGTGCCAGCCTCTCCCACGGCTGAGGAAGCCACCAAGCCTGACCTACTTCCCACTGCATCCAAAGCAAGAGTGAAGGCAAATTAAATAAATATATATATAGAAATTAAATTAAAAAAATTAATGTTATAAATAATTTTCATAAAATTTTCATAAAATTTTCATAAAATTAGGAAATTAAATATATATTTACCAGACCACCCTGATGATGGTGATGCCTGGTTTCACTCCCTGGCAAGGTGAGGTGGCTCGCCTCAATATCAGCTATAGCTGCGTAATCCAAATAATCAATATATATAAAAATCACCCCAAACAGTCCCGTATGAATGGGACTTGATAAATTTCCACCTGAATGGGACTAGCAGAGCCATCCTTTCTCACTTGCCTGCCCCCCATCCTGCCCAGCATTCTCAWTTCACCCTCCACCTTCAAAGGGTGAGTAAATGGTGCTCAAAGCCCGCGTTTCCGTGCAGTTTTGGGTTTTTATGGCGCTCRCAGTCGGTTCCAGCAGATGCCATAATTGGGGTTTGGGCTTGGTGGCTGCAGTAAATCTGCAGGAAGGGAAGGATGCTCTCATTTTGCCAGGCTGCTTCTCTTTGGGATGCAGAGTGCATCTTCCAGCTCTCTGGGCTAATTAAAATGCCATTACAGTACATGTGGTGCTACAATACAGTCTAGGGAGACTTCCAAAAATAGATCCTTGAGTGCAGACAAATTAGAGAGGAAATATGCACTGAGCGTTTTCTCATAGGTTTAAAGAGAAATAATCCATTTGCTGCCCTAATTGCTTTCTTGTAAATGTTGAAGGATTTTTTTTTCCCCTCCTTTCCCCCTCTGTAAATTTCGAGCGAGCAGACAAATAAATAACGCGTGGTGATAATTAGCGTTGTCATTGCTGATATTGTAACTTGTCACTCGGGCTGTGATGTGCGAGGCAGGATGCTCCAGTGGATGGTGCTGAACGGTCAGGGAYGGGAGGCTTTTTCCTTCCAAAATTCCAAAATTSCAAAATTCCATAATTCCAAAATTCATTCCCTCTTTCTTTCCAAGATTCATTCAAAAATTCCCTCCTTCCTCCCAAAATTCCTTCCTTCCAAAATTACTTCCTTCCACAATACCAAAATTCTTTCTAAAGGTCCTTCCTTCCTCCCAAAATTCCCTCCTTTCTTCTAAAATTCCTTCCTTCCTTCCTTCCTTCCTTCCTTCCTTCCTTCCTTCCTTCCTTCCTTCCTTCCTTCCTTCCTTCCTTCCTT